CCCACAATTCAATCCCGAGCTACAAATATTCTCTTCTATTGATACAAATAGTTGTTTGGACTAAGCAAATTATTTTAACAGTACTAATTGGTGATGTGTTTGTGCCGTATATCTTCTGAGTTTCTTTGAAGAAATTAATCTCCTCCGATTTCCAATGCAAATGTGGCATGCAACATGTAACATTTCTTTCCTTTCCTTTCCTTGCTGCTTTCTGTTATGTGCCCAGGGTTTAGATCGCTCCAATTCTTGGGTAAACACTGGTGCTGCAAAAGCTGCCCTATGGGGATCCAACCCCAGTCCGAATGCAGAGACTTCACAGGTGGTGATTCCCTTAGAGCTTCCTTACTTTCCTCTTAATATCTTTGGTTGATAATCACCCTACAGAAATCTTTCTCCCTCGAGTCATCACTGCAATCCCTTTCACATACTTTCACCTGCTTTGAAGAATTCACATGGTTCCTTTCTCTTGTATCCATCAGCTTGCATGAGAAATCATCCATCCCTAATTTTTTCCGCTCTCACGCATGTTCAGAACAATTTTTTCCTTCTCTATAATTAATTTTTATACTTGTTTTATAGCTTTTCATCACGTGTAATATAGTCCAAGTAGAGATATGTAACATGCAAATGTAACATTTCTAAATATTACATCGTTAATCATATATAAAATTGGCTTACTGAAATAATTAGGACTTACATTAGCCACATCTAATTAATATGTCTCATTAATTTCCTTTTATTTTAAGGAGGCCAATCTTATATTTTGTATCTTCATCATCATTATCTGTATCTGTTGTGATCCTCGCTTGCCACCTTGTTTTTATTACATAATGTGTGAATCTCTCAGTTCATAAGAAGTTATTTTTCTTGATGAAAACTGAATGTTGAAAAATGTGTCAAGTAATACACTGCAAAATACGAAATGCTTAGTGTCATGATAATTTTAACCTTAGTTGCTTGCTTCTTAACATAGTGGGATTATTTAAATGAAGTCCAATTGACCATGCTTTCAGCTTTTAATCAGCTTAATTATTTTGTAAAAGAGTAAAAAAAAATGGTTGTTAAAACCAAATGTATAAATAAAACCCCATTTGATTGTATACAGGTAGTCCTCGACTTACAACAGTTCATATAGTGATCGGACAAAGTTACAACGTCATTGAAAAAAATGACTTACAACCATTTTGCATATTTATAACCTTTGCAGCATCCCTATGATCATGTGACCAAAATTCAGCTGCTTGATAATTGATTCATACTTAGGAAGGTTGCAGTGACCTTCTGACAAGCAAAGTTAAGATTCACTTAACAAACGTAACATAACAACTGCAGTGATTTACTTAACAATTGTGGCAGAAAAGATTGTAAAATGGGACAAAACTCACTTAGCAAATGTCTCACTTAGCAACAGAAATTTTGAGCTCAATTGCGGCCGTAAGTCCAGGGCTATCTAGTTCTATACAATAAATATTGATATTTTGAGCAATAGCTCAATATTTTTTAAGCTGGGGTGAATGACACAGAAGTTAGACAATGTTGTCTTCTTGTATGTCAGCGAAATGGGGAAGTTATTACAAACTAGTTTCATACTTTTGCAACACTTCATGTCTTTAAGCGAAAACATTACATAATGTTTAATCTCCGTTCAGACCCTAGAAACCTTTTTTTTTAAAACAAACAGCTTTATTGTCTATTAATAAGTTTCAAAATCTCCATAAGGTTCAGTACTACTTGTCCTTTTATTGAAATGAATTAGAGGTTGAAATCTGAAATATTTCTGTTATTTTTTTTAATGCCCATTGTCTCAAACTGTGTGTGTCATCCACAGCATATTTTAATGTGCTGTTACCATTTTATTTTGCAGGCTGCGGATCGAAGCTGTAATCGTATGTCTTCCCATACGGAGACACCAAGTTTCTTACAAACATTAACAGGGCGTTTGCCAACTAAAAAGGTAGATATAGCAAAGATCATTTCATGCTGTTGTGCAAGACAAGGAGTGATAAACAGTTCAGTTCAGTCCTAAATTTGAAGAGTGCTGAGTCAACTAGAGTTGCAGTGGCTTGATTCTAGTTCCACAAATATAAAATAGCTTGGATGTTAATCCAGATGAATCACTTCATTTTTTGTAAAAACATTAATTCCTTTTGACCACACACTTGAGAGCAATGCAAGGATTGCAGAAATGCTCTGTGTGCTTCTGTGTAGCTTACAAGGGGCTTCCACTTACTATCTTCTATGGTTTGTGAATTCTTATCATTCATGGAGGTAGGAAGACGTTGTTGTAGATTACTGACATTCTGCTTCTGCTTGGAGGCATTGGATTGAGCAGCTGGAAATCTATATGGATGGCTTTTCCCCACCGGTTTGTTTTTCCAAGGGGGGGATGAAAAGATCTTTCTTACTAGTTTTCCAACAGATCAGAAGTTTTTCTCCCTTACCTTCTTCTCAGTAAAACTGGAGAAAAGAGTGGAACTGTTGACTTCTCTTTCATCCTGAGCTCTCATTTTGCTCCTTCTTCTATCGGCAATAAGAAGAACATTTCAGGAGAAACTAAACCATAACTTTATCAAAAATTACAATTTGTCTTTAGTTCTACCTGACATAGATTGGATTTACACTTCCCATTGTGCAATATTTCCTTTTAAAAAGGCTGTTAAAGAACCGTTTACCATTGCTATAATGTTCATAAAAATGTTTTGCTTATTGTCATCCCTGTATATTACATGATATTATTTTACTAATTACAGCAGTAGTCCCCAACCCTTCTGGCTTTGTGGACCAGTGGCAGTGGAGGGGAGACAGGATGGTTCCATGCAAGCAGCAGGTGAAAGCTCACACAGCTCTGTTTGTGCAAGCGGAAGGCACGCATGCATGCCATTTGCACTAAAGGAACTCCATGCCTGCGCTTGCCTGCCACTTGTGCAAATGGAACTGCATGTGTTCTCGCATGCTGCTTGCACAGCCTGTTTTCAAAACAGACCACTGCCCAGGACCAGGCTGTGGTCCTGGGGTTGGGGAATGTCTGAATTAGTTTCAAGAATTATTAAATGCTGGATGAGTAAACATGGATTTTAATCCTGCTAGCTTTTTCACGAAGAACTGGCTTTGCAGTGGGTTGTCTGCAGTGGAAGTGTTCGTGAAGCAGCTCTTCAGCAAGCATGGTTCTTCTTTGAACTTATGGTAAGAGAATGAGAAAAACTGTTCAGTGCAGGGATAAGCAACCTTCAGGTGCCCCAGCCTAAAAAGTCACATCCTTTATGCAAGAGATCTCTGCTAAGACCTGCCTATTCCTTTCCTGTATTGGAAAGTGGGGGGGGGGGGGGGGGACGACGATCAGAAAGAAAGTGAGTCTATTTATCTTTTGTCGTTGTTCTTGCCTCTGGACTTCTTTCCTGATCCCTACCACAGATAGATATTTTCAGGGAAAATAGCCACTCGTTATCCAGATAATATCTACTTGCCTCTGAAAGTTACTCTCCAAATGGTAGATAGAGCTAGACCAATGGGAAAAGAAGAATCACTGTTACAATGATTAAATCTGGTTTACAGAATAGTATCAAATCATACTGCTATCCACAGCTGACCTTTTTCGTGCAAGGCATGGCAAGTGGTAATATATGTTTCCTCCAGGTAAAAAGTATTGTGCATCATTTGTATTTTGCTGACAAACTCGACGCCCCGAGGAAAAATCGTTTTCCAGAGCGCTTCATGGATGACATATCTGCGCTGGTCAGCACAATTGCCAGTGATATGGTCTCCCGGTTTCAGAAGGTAATGGAAGCAATTCAGCTGTGTTCTTGTCAAATGTACACCCCGATATGAAGAGATAATTTCTAAATAGCGTACAAGTGGTTGGATAAGAGCCTTGGCATGAAGCTTCTGTTTTGAAACATCCTGTCCTTTTCCTTCTTTTTTTCTTTTTCCCTCTGATACAGGATACTGAAATGATTGAAAGACTCAACACTAGTTTAGCATTTTTTCTCAACGATCTGTTGTCTGTCATGGACAGAGGATTTGTCTTTAGCCTTGTTAAGACTTACTACAAGCAGGTACGGTGGCAAGATTGAGGTAAAAGGTAGTCCTGGGCTTGGGGTAGAGAATCCTTGGAGTTGGCTACATCCAAGAAGGAGAGGGAAGGAAAGAGGGGAGGAGGAGTAAAATACATTGTGGTATCTGACTAGAAGGATGTTATCCAAAGAGGCCAAAATTCTGTCCCTTCTCTCTACCCCTCCTAATTTGATTACTAAATGCCGGGGATGCTATCATGGTTGGAGTCAGTTTGTAGACAACAAAGCATCTTTTTGGCTCTTGATGTTGGAAACAAACATTGGGTTAGATAGAACATATTCTGGGCGAGCAGCATGGTTGTACTCAGAAAGGATATCGTCCAAGCAGCATGGAAATGCTTCAAAATGATTTAAATCTGACATTGAAAGTAACAGTATCTTGCTCATTTTATTATGAACACCAAATTTAACGAATCTGTCCTTTGCTCTCTATTTTTGTTGTCTAGGGGAACATAGATACATTTACTTTTTGTAGATACCCAGCTTCCTTGTCACTTTTTAACTTTGCATTTCCTGTTTCACAAGGTGTCCTCCAAGCTTTATTCTTTACCAATCCCCAGCACACTAGTGTCCTTGAGGCTGGATTTCCTTCGGATTGTCTGTAGCCATGAGCATTATGTTACTCTGAATCTACCATGTAGTTTGCTAACACCGCCTGCCTCTCCATCTCCTTCCGTGTCATCAGCAACATCACAGGTGGGTAATATACCAAAAGTATAATGTAGTATTAGAAGGCTAATAATAAACCAATGGACTGTAGGATTTCATGTAGAATTAGATTCCTCTTTAGCTCTGCTCTAATTTAAATGCAGACTTTTAAAAAAAAGTTGCAACTGTGTTAAACCAAACTGTTACTTGATTGATTTTGACTTGATTTAATAAATATAAATATAAACCAGTTACTTGATTAATTTTGCCTTAGTGTGACAACACACACACACACACACACACACACACACACACACACACACCTATTATAGCTTATCAACATGGTTATTTCTTGTTAAACTATTTAATTTCTAAAATTCCTAACTTGAATACCCAATATTTGTGCTGAATGCATAAAAATGGAAACTGAATAGTACACATCAATAATAATAATAATAATAATAATAATAATAATAATAATAATAATAA